TATGAGTTGAACTGGATCTTCACCTTGCAATGGGAAAGGAGACAAAATCTAAGTATCTCAGAAATCCTCCCACAGGGATTCTGTATCTTAGAGTCATGGGCCCTAAAAATTCACACATTCATCTGTAGTAAGGTGTTAACAGAAGAAGCACTGAACTTGGAGTCAAAAGACTTGGACTTGTGTTCTAGCTTAGCAGTTACTATGGGACCATAGGGAAGTCACTTTAACACACTGGGCCTCAGTTTTTTTAGCAGTAAAATGATAAAATTGGACTAGACAAACTCTTCCGATTCTGCCATTCTATAATTCCATCTGGATACTCTACATTTGGAGGGGGGGAGGTACCTGTTGTTCCCCCTCTCCCCTTTCTCCTCCCCTTAGAATTTTAACATCATTCTAGTTGGGATTCTTTTATTCATTTTATTTGTATCCCCAACACCTAGCACTGCGCCTGGCAAACAGTAGATATTTAACAAATATCTGGTGACTATTTTCTTAGTCACAAATAACTCTACACACTAAAATGAATATCCTCTATTAGGGGGAACGAAATTAAATAGCTCTGGTCCTACCTTTTCTTCACCACCACAAGCTTTTGTATTTAGATGGAAAGTTCCAGAGGTTAAAGAGGCCTAATATTAGAATGCCAATCCATGATCCACTAGAAGAAACTAGTGAGAGACACCTATCTCTTAAACTGTATTTTTAAAAGGAAAAAACAAAGGTCCAAGGTACCTTGATCACCTCCTTCCACCCACCTCCTCTACTCCCAGAGATGATTCTATTTTCTGAACTGCAATTTCCAAAACTAAAGTCACCCTTCCAAATAATGGGAAAATGGGCTTCAGGTACAACACGAACTTGCCCACCTTAACTTTCAATATGCCCTCATTTGAGCACTTCTACTCTGCTTACTACCAACACACCTAGAGCTCCCACATCCTTTAAAAAATCTTCACTTGTTCCTACTGGACTGAGTATCACACTGTGTCTCTTCCCTTTCATAGCCAAACTTCTCGGAAAATCTATGACATGCTCGTTGCCTCTATGTCCTCACCCTCACATTCACTTCTTGATACTTCACTGTCTGGCTTCTGATCCACAATATACTGAAGCTGCCCACTCCAAGGTCACCAATGATCTCCTAATCACCAAAGCCAACAGCCTTTCCTGGTCCTCATGCTTCTTGACTCTCTGCAGCACTTACCACTGTTAGTGGCCCTCTCCTCCTGAACCCTATCTCCTCCAATGTTCCTTGACACCATCCTCTTTGGTTCTCTCCTTCTACCTGTATGATTGATCCTTCTCAGTCTCCTTTGCTGGATTATCATTTAGGCCCAGTCCCCTATGAATCCATACCCCACACAGTTTGTCCTCAACTCTCTCCTCTTTTCTCTCTATACTCTCCTCACTTGATGATCTCATCAGCTACCATTAATTCAACTATCATCTCTATGCAAAAGATTCCCAAAGCTACCTGCCCAGCCCTTATCTTTCTCCAGAGTTCCACACTTCTCAAAATCAACATGTTCAAAACAGAACTAGTCACCTTTTCCCCTAAACCAGGGGTGGGGAACCTGTGGCCTTGAGGTCACATGTGGCCCTCTAGGTCCTCAAGTGCAGCCCTTTGACTGAATCTAAACAAGGGCCACAGTTGAGGACCTAGAGGGCCACATGTGGTCTAAACCCATTCCTCTTCCCAACTGCCACTTTTGTCTAGGACATCACAATCCTAATCACCCCCATTTGCAACCTTGTAATCTTCCTCAAATCCTCCCTCAACCCACACAGGCCCAGTCTTGTTGGTTCTACTACCATAATATTTCTTATATTTATCCCTTCTCTCCAATGACAAAGCTGCCAGGCTAGTTCTAACCCTCATCCCCTCTAGTCTGAAATATGACTATAGCCTTAATAACTGGTCATTCTATATCCAGTCTCTTCACTCTTCAACCCATTCTCCAGAGCTGCCAAACTGATTCCTAAAGCACAAGACTGATTATATCATTCCCCTGCTCAGGAAGTTTCAATGGCTCCCTATTGCTTCTAAGATAAAATACAAATTCTTCTGTGAAGCCACTGAAAAGCCCTGCCCACCTCGCTCCAACCTATCTTTCCAGACTCATTTCACATTATTCTCCTTTACATATTCTACATTCCAGCCAAACTTCCCTGCTTGCTTTCTCCCCAAAGAAAACCTTCCATCTCCTGCCTCCTGTACACCTTTGTACAGCCTCTGTCCCAGGGGTAGAAAGCTCTGTCCCATCATCTTTGCCTAGAACTATCTAGAGTTTCCTTTACAGCTGGGCTCCAGGCCTTTCTTGAGTCCTCCAGTGGTTAGTGATCATCCCCATGACTTTGTATTTAAAGTAATCACTTATCTGCATACATGCTGTTTCTCCCCACGAGAATATAAGCTGCTTGAGAGCAGGAACCATTCTATTTTTGTCTTTGTAGTCCCAGCACTTGGCATGTTGAAGGACCATAATAAATGTTTGTTGAATTGAAATGAGCTGTGAGGAAGATTTTCTTAGTGAAAAAGAACCCTAAAAAGGGTGAAAGAAAAAGGTTGTGGAATTTTCTTCTCTGAGGGACTTCAAAAATAAAACACATTCTCAACTGGGCCTTCCTACCACCTACTTCTTCATGGAGCAAAGCAGAGGAGGATAGCAGTTCTCTCTATATCCACTTTCAGATCAGCAAAGCTCTGAACACAGAATGTCAAAACTACAACCCCACAACAATTAGCCCTTCCTCTACAATATTCTCCATCATGTATAAACTATGGTTGTCACTGATACCAGCAAGTCAAACAGAAGAGGATTATTTAGGATCGGTCTAAAATTTTACAATTTGACAATCTCGGTACCTTCTAACTTTCACCTCTAATTCTAGACCCTAAAACAAATTAATGACATGTGTACAACTTGGTTCCAGTAAATCAGGAATACTACTAAGAAATACAACCTAAGAATCTAACGAGCCATTTCTATGTTAAAATGCTATCAGCCCCTAAATTCACAAGCTACTTGGCTGTTATTACCCTTGGTACACATAAGTGCAATCTACAGAGCTCATTCAGTTATTTTTTAACTAAAAGTTTGTATTTAACACCTCCTGGGAGCAAAGGAGGCCAGTTTCCCCAATTTCAGGTCCTGAGGCATAACTAGAAAGAAAAAGTTTGAAGACCTTCACCTTGAAAACTCTGGTCATGTTTAAGTGCTTTGGGGTCTTTGTATTTTTGTCCTGGATAGAAATTAGAACTGAGAGGGTTAAAAAAGCAGCTCAGAAGTCAGGTTAGGAAGGAAGGAAGGAAATGAAGAGGGGAGAAAGGGAGATTTTATTAATCACTTGCTATATGCTAGCCACCATGCTAAGCTCTGAGGATACAAAGTATAAGCAAAAAAGAAAGACAGTCTATGCCTTCAAAGAACTTACTTTCTAATGGGAAAAGACAACACACAAAAGGGGGTCACAAACACAAAAAAGTGGAGTCATACTTTCCTCAAAAAAAAAAAGCATAATTTCTGACTCAGGCACAATTTTTGGTAATTCATTAGCACCAAATAGCCTTCCTTTCCTAAAATACACCAGGTGACCAGGTCCTGTAATGAGAACAAAGTATAACAAATGTATAGCCAAAGTACTGCACTGATTATCTACAAAATATCAAAAACAGCAAATAACAACAGCTAACATTTACATAGTGCCTTCTACATGCCAGATACTTTACAAATTATTTCATGTGATCCTCACAACAACCCTGAGAGGTGGATGTTATTATTATTCCCATTTTACAGAACAGGAAACTGAGGCAAATGGAGGTTAAGTGATTTGCCCAGGATCACTTGGCTAGTTAAGCTAGTTAATTGCCTAAGGCCAGATTTGAACAGAGGTTTCCCGGATTTCAAGCCCACAGCTCTATCCACTCAGCCACCTAGCTGCCCCAAGAACTAGGACCTCTGACACCTTGGTTGAGACTCTTCACGAGCCACCAAAAAGAACCATATGGGATGAGATGTCATGGATGGATCGCAATCTGCACCAGCTGACAGCCGAGATCGTGGAGCCTCTCAAGTACACATGACCTTCCCTCAAGCCCAAACTTCGCATTCCTTCTTTGACAACACAGCTCACAGCCGGAGGGCTACTGCACTTCGCTCCGTTTCCCTCCACCTCTATGAATGCCCTGGCTCACTTCTGCCATCGCCCCCGATCCTCCTCTCTCTCCTCTCCACCTCCTGGCTTCCCTCAAGTCCCAAAGTCCCACTTTCTCCGAGAAGTTTTTCCAGAGAGCCCCCTGAACCTCGGGGAGTTCATTCTTTCCAAGTTATCTTTGTGAGAGTTGTCTGCACGCTGGCGTTCCCATTAAACTTGGGAGCTCCCTGAGAACAGGGACGGTCTTTTGCCTTTCTTTGTCGTCTCCAGCGCTTACCAGTGTCGGGCACATAGTTAGCCCTTAATAAATGCTACTTGATTGACTTCTCCACAGAATCATCTTTTCACTTTGGGGCATCCTACCCACCCTTCCACCTCCTTCCTGTCCGTCGCAAGCCCCCCACCCCGCCTCCAACTCACAGCTGGATTAACCCCCCAGCCCTTCTCTTTCCAAACTCAACCATCCCTTTCTCCACACTTCTTCCTCCCAGAAAACCATCCTTTGGTAACCCCAATGCGTTTGGGGGACCGACTGCCCCTGACACCGGAGGTCCACCCCCAGAAATTCCCCTCATTGCCCCGACCTGACAACCCGCAGGGCCCCCGCTCGCCCTTGACCCTGACACCCCGCAGAGCCCCACCCCCACCTCTGGCACCCCCGCAGGGCCCCGCCCCTCGGCCTATCCGCGGAGCCCCGCTCCCCTCCCTCTCCTTCCGCCTGCCGGGTCCTCGAGGTGCCTGAACACCTCCCTCCGTGCCTGCCCCCCGCGGCCGGTCCTCAGGGCCCGGAGGCGCGTCCCTCCTCACCCGCGTGCACGACCCGCGTCCCTCCTTACCCTTACCCGCGGAGACATCGCCGCCCGGGACTGGGGACAAAGGGGGGAAGCTGCAGTGGTAGGAGCACTGGATGTCGCCAAAGAACTTTTGGGTCTCGCTCAGGTTCTGTTGCAGCCGATTCAGGTAGAGGCGGTGGTGGGCGAAGGCCCGGCCCAGCTCCCGAGCCAGCCCGATGCCGCCGCCGCCGCCGGGGCCGGGGCCGGGGCCCGAGGCCGGGCCGCTCCCGCGCAGGGCCGTCCCACCCCCGCTGCCGGCGCCGCCGCCGCCCTCCATCTCCTCCGACCGCTCCGTCTTCGCGGCTCGGCCCCAGGCCGCCGGCCCGCCCGGCCTCCCGCCTCCCTTCTGCCCGCCCCCCAATGTGGAGAGAAGGGAGAGCCCCAGCCTCGCTACGCCCCAGCCCGCCCGCCCACCGGCTGCACGCCGCCCACCCACCCCCGGGCTTCCGTCACCCGCAGACGATAACAGACCAGCCCGCAGTGAGCCCACAACGGAACCTTTATTCACTCTGTCCAAGGGAGAGGGGGGGACGCGAGGGGAGTGACGCCGCCCCGCGAGGCAGCCTGGGACTTGTAGGCCGCTGTCAGGCTGCGAGAAAAGCGGGGATCTTTGAGAGGCTGCAGAGGGACTCTTGGGGCATGGGCTGGGGCCAACTTGAGCCGACTGTTAAATTTTCAATGTGAGCGTTTAAGTCTGGGAAATCAGCTTGATTGATTGTTTTGTTGATTGCTTAGACTTAAGAAAATGAGGGAGAAAATGTTCATAATGGAAATTAAACTTTAAAGCGTGTCCTGCATACATTTTCCCCCCAGAGAACCAGCTGTTAAACATTTACCAGCACACAGAATCCAGCTTACAAATATATTATTCATTCTTTCCTCATTCAAAACTTCCATGCCTCAATTCAATTCAACAAACATTTATTAAGCAACTACTGTATGCAAGTCACTTTCCTAGGTATTATGGATGCTTAGACTTGTCCTCAAACAGCTGACACGGGGTCCTGAGTCAAAAGACCTCATTTCAAATCCTCCATCTTAGCTTAGTAGCTGTGTGATTCTGAGCAAGTCACTTAACCTCTGTCACCCTCAGTTTCCCCATAGATTTTTTGTGAGGCCCAAATGTGTAAAGTGCTTAGCAAACCTTAAAACATTCTATAAATGTTACTTAATATTTTGATTCAATTAAACTCCCCTCCCCCCACCTTTTTTTTTGTTTGTTTAAGGAAGAGGGAGAACTTCAAGCTCCAACCCGAGGCAAAAATGGAATGCACTCATTGAAATCATATCTAAAGATATTTAAAACAGAGAAAATTTTGCCATTAAGGATATCATTGTCCCAGTGAGGGGAGCTAGGTGATACAGTGGTCTGGAGTCTAGAAAACCTGAGTTCAGATTTTACCTGATCCCAGCCATGCCACTTAATCTGCTGCCTGCCTCGGTTTCCTCAACTGAAAAATGGGGATAATAAAAGTATCTACTCACAGTGTTGTTGGGAGGATCAAATGAGATAATATTTGTAAAGCACTTAGCACAGTTCCTGGCACATAATAGGCACTTAATAAATGTTTCCTTCCTTCTTGTGATGATTCCAAAAGTAGGCTTTTAATCATTCATTTTCTCAAAAAAACATTTATTAAGCTCTTCCTATTTTCAATGCAGACTCCTCTAAAGTCCACCTCTGATTCACCACATCATAGATGTGACCCTGATTTCTTAAGTCTGTATCAGTGGAGGGCAAGTTCTCTGGGGATAAGGAGAGAGAGAGAAACTACCTAGCCACAGTGTTTTCCTATTTAGGTCAAATGTGTTTGTGTGTGTGTGTATTTAAAACAGAATGTGAATTTACAAGTCCTAGGAGAAACAAAACCAAATAAATATTATTGCATGTGCTTAATATCTACAAGGCATTGTAGCTATAAAGTACACAAGATAATGCCCTCTGAGGAATGTTCATAAATGAATGAAAATTTAAATAGCAAGACAGGATGTCAATAGATGCATCTGAGGATGGTGGAAAGCGCTCTAGACTCAGAGTCAGGAAAACCTGCCTTTGAATCTCACTCTTAACACTTAGTAGCTTTGTGACTATGGGCAAGTCATCTCATTTCTCTGGCACCCTCAAGATGCTAGGAGAAAGCAAGGTGAGTGCCCCATGGTGAGTTGGAACAAGAACCTCACAGATGGACAGGCCTACATGAGTAGGCCTTGAAGTTCTCCCTCTTCCTATGTGAGTTGATAAGATAACAGATCCATTTGAGTATTATTATTATTAATAACAGTAATTAGTGATTCATAGGTTTGCAGGATATTAGAAGTAGAAGGATCTTCAAAGATTATCAAATCAAACTGCCTCATTTCAGAGATTAAGAAAATAAGACCCAAAGAAATGGAATGATTTACCTGAGGTCACACACCTAGAAAACGACAGGGATGAGTTCTGAGCACAGACCTCCAATCCCAGTACCCACTTTAGAGAGTTATCTTCAAATTCTTGAAGACCTGGGCTCTGACATAGGCTGTGTCATTCAGTCGAAGTCATTTAACCTCTTGGTGCCCCTACACATCTGTCGAGGATGATAAGTTGCAGAATAGTTGTTCATATGAATTGATAGAAGGGATTTAAGAGTTTCCTACACCAAAGAAATCACAGGAAGCGGAGGACAGAAGGTAACAAGAATTTCGAGCTGACTTGGATTAGGAAGGTTGTAAGTGAGGAGATAGAATCTGAGTCAGATCTTGAAGAATGGGTGAGGCTGGAAGAAGAGTAACGGATATTTCGCAGCACCTTTAATTTGGTGCCAAACTTTACATACATTTTCCCATTTAAGCTTCTTGATAACGCTGACAAGTAGATTCTATCGATGTTATTGTCCTCATTTTAGAGATGGGGGAGCTGAGGCTCAGCAAGGCCAAGTGACTGGTCCATGGTCACACAGCTTGTAAGAATGAGAGGCAGTGTTTGAACCAGTTCTTCCTAACTACCCGTCCAACCATCCAATCTGTTATTCCCCATGCTTGTTTCTCCCATTTTTTCTGACTAGGTATAGAGGAGGGAGAAACACATTCCAGGCGGGTTAGTAAAAGGTTTGAAAACAAAAACTATGTGGTTATGAAATAGGCATTTTTCATGCACTAAGGAAAAGCATCACTTGTTTCCTACTGTAGAGAAGCTCAAAAGATGAGATCCTCCCCGGCCTAAAAATAAGCTGAATTCCCAACCAGTAAAATAAACCTTTCATTCAAGTATCTAACACTAATTGCAAAATGAACTTACACAGTAACAGAGGAGATTTATGCTAGATACAAGGAAGGATTTTCTGATGATGTGGATTATTAATCTCTAAAGTGAGTTAAAGAGACAGTCTAAGAACTATTTTCTAGAGTTTTAATCATAGGTGTGACACTAGAAAGTATGCTGGATATGGCATCTGATGAGCTGAATTTAAACCCTGCCTCTACTACTTAACTACCTGTATTACCTTGGTCAAGTCATTTCACCATTATAGATCTCAGTTTCCTTATTGTTTTTTGGTTTGGAGTTTTTTGTTTGTTTTTTTGGGGGGGGGGAGGCAATCAAGGTTAAGTGACTTACCCAGGGTCACACAGATAGTAAGTGTCTGCGGTCAAATTTGAACTCAGGTCCTTCTGACTTCAGGGCCAGTGCTCTATCCATTGTACTACCTAGCTGCCCCTGATTTCCTTATTTGTAAAATGTTCTAGTTTTGACTAGAACTCTATCAACGGTTTTTAACCTGAGGTCCACATACTGTCTATGGGTAAATTTCAGAGTTCATTTCCCATGAACTTGGATAGGAAAAATATTTTTATAACTGTATTTCGATATAATTGAGTTCCTTCATAATCCTTTGTATTTAATTTTGTGCACTTAAAAACATTATCCTGAGAAGGAATCCATGGTCTTCGTCAGACTGCCAAAGGAATCCATGACAGAAACATGGTGAAGAACTCCCAGGCAAGATGGCCTTTGAAGTTCCTTCTACTTCTCGATCTATATTCCTGTTATTCTATGTCTAAATGGCTTCTCAGTTCCTCTAGATCTAAATTTTTGTTCTTATTTTCTCTTCAGTCTGGGAATGGTTTAAATGAAAAAAAAAAACTGGCAATGTTCCCATCAGCTCCGGTATCCAAAAATAAGACAAGTACCCTCTCTTACACTTGCCCTCCTATTCTGCCCAGCTGCATTAATGAATGATACTGAGAATTTTTATTTTTTCAAATTGCGAACAAAAAGATTATATTCCTGTTTCATTTGTTTTTACATTTTATGATAATTTACATACCAAGGTTTATTAAGTTGGAGGCTATTTATTCATAAAACTCAGATTTTAAATGTACTGTACTTAATTATGCATCAAAAATCATTGCACTACTGCTGATGAATATTTCATCAGTGGCATTCTTGGCTGTCAAGATTCAGAGCGGTGGAAGAAAGGACAGTCAATTAGAGGGAATTTATAAAATCCTGTCCTCAGAAAATGCCTGGTCAGGCTCAAGAGAAGACTAGAAGTATTTCCAGGACATTTTGAGAGAATCTATCCCGAAAGATTATGAAAAATGTCAGATGCATAAGATGGCACCCATTGCAGAGGTCAGATACATCTGTTTCTAAAGTAGGAATGACTTTTTAGCCTTGTCTGCATCTGAGCAGCACTATGATATGTAAATAAATACCCAGTTTTGTTTTCTTTAATTCTGTACTTGGAACACTGAATTATTTAGTATGTGTGTCTTAAGCTCAAAGATTCCTGTCATGTCATACCTCTAATAGTAAAAAGTTGGGTGCTGGGCAGGAATAGTCTGGTGAGGGATCTTGAAATTGAAAAAGAAAGTTGATGAGGTCTATTCTTCTTAGACATGAAAATGTTTTCCCTCTACAAATTATGGAGCAGCTATCCTGACTGACCTATCACCCTTTTGGCTTTTGCTCTTCTTTTTTATATATTTATTTAATATTTCTCCCCAATTACGTGTAAAAACGATTTATAACATTCATTTTTTTAAATTTTGAGTTCCAAATTCTATCCCTCCCTGCCCCCTTCATTTAGAAAGCAAACAATCTGATTAGGTTATAAATATGCAGTCATGCAAAACATTTTCACATTTGTCAAATTCTGAAAGAAAACACAGATTTAAAAAAAAACAAGAAAAATAAAGTAAAAACATTATGCTTTGATCTGCATTCATACTCCATCAGTTCTTTCTCTGGAGATGGATAGCATTTTTCATGTTAAGTTCTTCAGAATTGTCTTGGCTCATTGTATCACTGAGAATAGCTAAGTCACAGTTGATCATTATACAATATTGCTGTTAACCATGTACAGCGTTCTGGTTCTGCTCATTCCACTTTACATCGATTGATGTAAATCTTTCCAGGTTTTTCTGAGAGCATCCTGCTTGTCATTTCTTGTAGTATTCCATCACAGTCATGTACCACAACTTGTTCAGTCATTCCCCAGTTAATGGGCATCCCCTCAATTTCCAATTCTTTGCCACTACTAAAAGAGCTGCTATAATACATATATGTCCTTTTTTGTTTAATCTATTTGGAATACAGACCTAGTGGTG